TGGCAGAGAGACAAAAAAATTATCACCGAATAAATTGAGGGTAAGTTTCAATACAAAAATTTATTCATAAAATTAACAACAGTTTAATGAATAGCCGTTAGAAGTGGTGGCAGATGTGACCAAAAATAATGACTTGGAAAGGCTTATCAATCAAACGATTGAGAAATTTGGAAAATTAGATGTTTTGGTCAATAATGTAGGCATCGGTGTGTTCACCACTATTAGAGACACCAATTTTATCACCGCTTACGACAAGACTTTTAACGCCAACTTAAGGGCCGGACTTAAACTCATACAACTGGCCGTCCCGTACTTGGAGGCCACTAACGGCACGATTATCAGTACATCCAGTGTTGCATCGCAATTACCGGTAATTATTATTATTTATAATATTTTATTTGTTAACACATAACTTAATAATATTCAGGCTATTAGTCCCTTACCATACGGCGCATCAAAGGCGGCGCTAGACTACGCGACCCGAGCACTGGCCGTAGAGTTGGGCCCAAGGATTAGAGTCAACGCTATTAAGTAAATAAGTTTTTATTTGTGAACTAATTATTTATCAAATTATTTGATTATTATCGAAGTCCTGGGTTTATACTGACGGAAGCACTTATAAAGAGTTTCCCCGACCAAGTGATTGAGAGGGGATCACAAACGGCTTTACTTAAACGTCTTGGACAGCCGTTAGATGTGGCCAAAGGGGTGGCATTCCTGGCCTCAAGTGATGCCCAGTTTATTACAGGTACTAACCTGGTTATTGATGGAGGAATTACTAACAACATGTAAATCATAGACAAGAATCCAAACTTAATTTTATGTCAATACTTAACTTGAATACACATGAATTAATAAATTGTTAATCATGTATTTAAGACATAATAAATTTTTAATTTGGTTTATTGGAAATGTAATCATTTTTATAATAAAATTAATACTGATATAAGTTATATACAATTACATGAACAAAGAGAGTGTAAAACAAAGTTCATTAGTGTTTTGTTAAACATTCAAAAACATATCACAAATAAATATCGAAAATACTCTATGAATAGATGTTTTCGGGAATTATTTTTCACTTTTTGTTTTTGGTTTTCAAAATATGGTTTTCAAATCAATTAAACAGATTTCTCGTCGACATTGAGGTGAAGGTATTCAGCGATGAAAACGCGGAATATTTTCAGTAGATTATGAATTGTGGCGAAATCCAGATTCTCTTTATTGTCGGCCTCCCGGTGCCAGACGGAGGGGAATGGGGTGGCGATCACGTGCAGTATGGGTACATTGCGTCGGAGGAACGGCATGTGGTCGTCCTCCACGTAATTGAACGCTTGGCGGCCATTGAAATACGAGGTCTTCTTGCGATTGCTCTTCAGCTCCAATAAATTCATTTCATTTAACTTTTTCTCTACAAAACAAATTCAAATAAATTTCAAATTCAGTGATAGTTTTAACCAAATTTTAATCACTATTAACAATCTTTTACCAATTTCTATAATCCTATTAAACAGGGGTTTGGTGTTGGGGTAGAAGCTATAGAAATGTGGATTTTGGGCCCCTATTAGGTCGAGCAAAACCATTAACTCGATTCTATCCAATTCACGGGTGGTTTGGGTCTCATTGAGGCACCGGCTCCTCATGTCTTTGGGATACGCACTGCGACTCCATTTGTTGGCCAAATGTCGGGACCCGTACAGCGAGTCCTCGTTAGACCACTGGACAAACGCCTCCTCGCCGTCAAAAAACACCAGTTGGACAGTCGTATCGCTGTTTGACTAATCATTTCGCGAAATAATTAATAATTAGAGGGGAACGGTATGTTATAAATTACTTTTTTGAGATAATTGTCGAGTACGAGCGCCAGGTGTATGATCATAGCGCAGGGGACGGCTGAGTCGGTCGCCCCCACGAATGTCTTCTCCCGATTCAGTTTGGAGTCGTAATGACAGGACAGTAGCACTCGTTTACAGTGGGATGGGTTAAGGGTGGCCATGATGTTGGTGAACGTCCGCTTCCCCAGTGGGGTATTAGCCGTGAACTGGTCCTCCTCTACCGTCCACTCCAACGACTCCATTATTTTGCGCAAAAACTTTATGATAAAATAATTTTTATTACCTGGTATACTTTTAAAATTTAAATTAATTGGCTATTTATTCGAGGAATTTGAAATAAAAATTTAGATAAATATTTCTAATAATCTTCTAATTATGAAATGTCAAATAATTTTGTTTAATAAGTGTAAATAACTAATGTTAGTTTATTTTGTTTTAATCCCTAACTATACAGTATTACAAACTTATATAAATATTTTAAACCGCTAATCATAATAAGTTTTTTAAGTGGACTACATTTCCGGCCTAGTAAACTAAATTTAAATAATTTTCTAATCCTTTTAAAATACATTTGTATTACATATTAAACTATTTCTTATTACTAATAATTTTCATAGACTTGTTAAATAATTTCAATCAAATAGCTAATCATTGAATGTATACCTTCTGCACTTTCTTATGGCCATCTGTTCCGGGACTTCGAGGAATAAGTATAGAATCGAGTGTCGACTCAAACAGGTCTCTGTCCTCAAACTCTTTTGAGGCCAAGAATTTAATCTTATTGTCAGACAATGGCTTCGGTGCGTGAGTTAGCTATGGATTCATTGAGTAAAACAAAACACAAATGAAAGTGAAGTCTAAATCCAATTAAACCCAAGTATTGCTAATCAATTAACACATATTGTAGTATAAGTATAATTAATTAATTACAAACAAAATAAAATTTATCCCAAACTGTGATTCATATGAAACTATACAGTCTATTGACGCAATTGTGTAATACTTTAGGACTTTGTGTCGACAGATTGATTATTGGATTAGGATTTTATTGGATTAAATTGAGTCTAAATTGGATTGTTTTTAAGTGGGCGAGTACGTTATATCCAGGTATTTAATCAACCCTTATAATAAAGCTCTAGTATTAAAACAATTAAGCAAATAACTATTATCTTAATTATCAATAACAGGTTGCATTAATTGATATCAATTTAATATTGTAATTTAAATAGAAAACATTAAGTAATCTAATGAACAAAATAGATAATATATTAATTACACAACTAATAAGTCTAGGTATAACTTGTAAGATATTTTCTGATAAATAATTTTTAATTAAAAATATTTAATATGTTGTCATGTTTTAATTTTATTACAAGTTTGTGATTATAATATTGAGATTGAAATTAGATTAATGAATGCAATGTTAATGAAAAGCAATAAAATTGATGTAATTATCGTAATTATAGACTAGTTTTAAAGCTAAAAGTTTTTACTTTACATCTGGTATACATAGTATTTGTAGGAAAATATTTAATCGCAAAATTATCAAGGCCTTAATCTGCTGGATGACACAATGAACTTTCACTCTCAATCTCATTATATAATATTAAACATATTCATAATGTGTATCCTCATTATAATGTGAAAATATATATCACGTTACACGTATGTTTTGATTAGTGTACTCATTATAATAGCCACTTTAAATATGAATATGTTTGTGTTGTTAAACTAGTTTTACTAAGCTATTAATTCTGTAAATAATTTTTTACTACATTACATTTATTGACTAACAAATAAATAATAAATATCCAAACATTATTATTTACGAATTCATTTTCATGTCATTCAAATGAGTGATAAATTTATTGACTACAATAAGACATACACTTCACTGAACATAGCCTTGAAAATCGTATTTAAATATCGTAGTAAATAACAAAACTGGATTTTTAATCACTAGAAAACATGAGTTTAGATTTTAGTCGAAAATAGCACTCAAATCTTGATTGTCTTAAAAAGTACTCTTAAAATAAATATAATATCAAATCGCATCATAGGATTCAATATCTAATCACATAATTCATATAAGTTTTGCATTACAATTCATCATACATTGATTAAAATAGAAATCATAGGAGATATAAACCGATTCCTATACTAATCATTAGAAATATAAAATTTTAATAACAAAATAATTAATATATAATAACAAAATCCTTATAAAAAAGTTTTAAACTATTTGAAAAGCCTTAGAAAAACACAAACCTCTCGTAAGTCCCAGCGTTTGACACGAATCGCGTGTATAAAGTGATGAGCAAATAAATTAACGAAAATAATAAAACCTATCACTAAATAAATTTGAACTAATTTTGTATAACAAATACTTTTTGAATACATGTCTGTATCGGACTCACAACAGTGTAATAAAGTTTTTAAACAAAAATATTATACAATGAATTAACTTTTATATAAAAATTCGTGCAACATTTTGGTGAGCAATAACTTTTTACCACACATTACATTACGGTTACATACAAACATGGCATTACGAAAGTCAATGTTTAAGTCTATTGTTTAGTAACAGTTGTTTCGCTGGAGTACTGGTGCTTCACATTGGAAAAGACACACTGAAAAAGGTCTGCCCTTAACATCAATTCACTGGCGTTAGCGCCGATACCGTATAGCTATGGCATGTAATACACTGTATCCCAGAGATTGAGATGTGATTTGACGTTACGTAAGGAAACGTCATTCTCTCGGATACTACACATTGTGTTGCAAATGAATTACTACTCAAACCATAATACTATTCATTGACAGCAATAGCAATATTGCCATTAATATGTACATTCATATACAGGTGTATTATATTTATAAGGGTTCAATGTTTGCTATACAACACTCCCTTATTATAATTTATTATTAAATATGTATAAAAATTTTGTGTAATTTAATTTTTAATTGGCTATTAATTTGAAAATAATTTTATTTCTTTTAAGTTCAAAATTCTTACTAAACTTTTGTTTTATAATAGACTCGATTGTACTGTACGTACAGAATATGTGTGAGTGTTATAGCAATTAATCATTAAATAAATATATTAATGAAGAATAAGATATACCGACAATTGATATATTGTTTGACAATAACTGTTGACTTAATTCTGGGAAATAAATCTCTTAATAATACTTAAATATACGTATACTGTATAAGAGTTAATTACATTAGCCGTGTGTTACGGCTGTTGTTATGGTGCTATCCTTAAGACTAATAAATTTTAACCCTTTGTGTCCATCCGTAAGAGTAGGTGTTTGAGATTTATGTGGATTACATGGTGTTACCAGAGGCAGGCTTTCCACGAAAAATGTCTATAAAGAGCAAAAATTATAATTTAAATATATTACATACACATACTGTATTTTTATTTAAATTTATTGATTATGATATCATTTGTAAACATTATGAAATGGTTTAATATATCATACTGTATAAGAATTCATAACTTAAATGCTATTTAATATTTTTTTTACCAATTTATATAAATCATTATCAATTACCGGTAATAATTTATCTGTGCCATACATATATATTTATTAATTATTTCAATATTTTTTACGACAAATTTATTAATAATTTATTTTACGAAACTATAGAAATTTATTTCATTAAAATGAAAAATAATTAATAATTTTTGATCTACAGTATAATTATAATTATAATTTCTATTTATATATTGACTAATAGCCTGAAATAATATAATATGTTAGCCTGATACTAATAATAGACAGTAGAGTCTCCTAAGTAACTTTTATCTAATATCATTGTTTGTTTAATTAATTTTTGCATACAAATAGTTTTTATGTAATTCTCCGAAAATACTATGACTTTTGTTTGAGAATTTAATTAATTTATTTGTCATAAAGTATACAATTCTCGTAATTTTGGATTCATTAATACATTTGAAGTGAACATTCCTGAGTAGGTTTGAACTCAAAATAATATTTTTTGCCTCATTTTTCAAATTCATTCAAATGCGCAATGATTTCAAAAATCTATTAAAATTTCAATATTTAAAATATTCAAATAATTTTTGAGTTAAACAAACTGTTACGTTAACAGAGTTAGATAACTCATTTTATTAACATTAAAATATATTTCATCTACAATATAAAATATAATTGAGAATATAATCAAGAATATTCGGTGCACTCGTTTCATTGATCAATAAATAACATCAAAATAATATTGTACCTAAATATAGAAATACAGTGAGTTATTTACTATTTTAATCTCGGTTGTTAGTTACATGTTGCTAAGATTTTTGTTTAATTAGAAACTACAGAATAATACAGAGTATAACACAAAAATAATAAAAGTCATATACATTTATATTAGATTGCTTTTCACATAAAATGATTTAATAAAGACACTATATTTTGTTTAGCATTAATAATTCATTAAACATTTAATTAAATTAATAAAGTAACGGTTTAATGTGTTATAATGTTTAATCAAATTTCATAAATCGTTAAAATGCTATTCAATACTTCATAATAGAGTACCACTGTACTCGTATAGATAAGTAGTACTTATTAAGTACTGTGTAGACACTATTCAATTGACAAAATAACATTTTAATGTGATTTTAAATGCCTTGATAACACCGAGAGATTAGGGGCCAAAAAACTGAACAATAGATATGAATGGAAAGCATTGAAAAAGTTTGTGCGGAAGTCCATAGAAATCGGTACCAAAACTGTCACAACTTTTCACTGCCTTAAGGCACAGCCGTATCGCACTGTGCGCTACAATACATAAGCCATAAGTTCTTCATCCCTGTTATGCAAATGGGATTCAAGAGCACTACTCTAACAATACGGATATAAACACATACTGTTCCCCACCACTCGTATCAGCTGTTGTACAGTAGACATGGTATGGCAGCTTAAAACAGCGGTTGCCATTCAGCTGAATATTATTATCTGATGGCAAAGTATAGGGAATACCTATCTGTCTAAAAAAGTTAACTATACTTACAGTTAACTAAAAATATTTTCTATGCAAACCTAAAGAATATTTTACAAAATGTTAATTTTATTTTTAAAGTCAAGTATTATTTTAATAAAACATTTGTATTCATTAAGTTTAAAACATTTAACTCTCGACTAAAAATCAGTTTTATTTATCATTCAATGAGTCTTCAATTATCAACAAATTTGGGACAAAACATGTCCACAAAATGAACACTCAAACAGTGATAACCAAAAAAATACTTTGATTTATATAAAAAACAAAAATTGGGCAATTATTATATAAATAATATCATAATAAACAGTTAAATTAATAACAATAACATTAAATATGTTTTACAAAAAATATACAATAATAATAATAATAATAAAGTTATCAATAAAAAAATTGCTCTCAAATATAACTAGATTTATTGGTTTACAATTAATTTAATTTAATTTAAATTACTATATAATTAACATATTATGTGCGGGACTGTTATCACAGTTGCTTTTTGCACTCGTGGTCGTGGGGGGTGTCGTGGGGCAGTTTGAAGGGCTCCGACTTGGGCTCACACACGTAGTGCGGACAGTGCTGTATATGTTGAGTGACGGCGTGACACGAGTCCAACTGCCACGACGTGATGTGACTGAACGCTGAACTGAAGTACCATTTCTGACACCAAAACAGACAAAAACATATGCTTTAGGTTTGCATTTAATGTTTGGCATATTTATAGAAATATAACGGTATGAATGTATT